TGGAAGGAATACACTCCCCTTACGTTGGGTTTCTTGGTGCAGGGGTTTGGCTTGGGCATTGAATTGGGGGGGAGGGCATACCCCACCTTTTTTTATTTTTTTTACAAAATTGACTCTCGTTTATGTTACATTTATGAAGTGGGACATAACTACATATTCAAAACACCATCCGAGCAATCAGATATTAAGCAAGTTCATATGAACCAATTTTTTAGAACCTACATTGCGAGAAGTTAAATAATCTAATAAAGGAAACCAGTTTCCTACAAATTTGGGGTATATTTCCATTGTGGGTGGGAGTGTGGCTAAGCTGGGCCAGCTGCTCCACTAAGGTGATCCTGCTGGGGCGGCGTCCCTGATGGATTAAAGTATCCAGGTCCTGTTCCTACACCTGACAGACACCCGCCTGTCTGGTGTTGGAGGGGATTATGTTTAAAGGTATCAAGGAGGCTGGGCCAGCAGCAGAGCTAAGGCAATCCTGCTGAGCAAACCTCCCTGGTGGCTGTAAGAATCCCACCTCCCCTCCTACACCTGACAGGCAGCTGCCTGTCCAGTGTAGGAGGGGGAGGGGGAGGAGTATTAGAAGCCACTGTGGAGGCAGGGCTGGCAAGATCACTAAGGCATTACTGCTGGGGCAGGCTCCCTCATGGCTTTAAGCACCCTGCAACCACTGCTGCACCTGACAGACAACTGCCTGTTAGGTGTAGAAGGGGGGGAGAGTGTGTTGGAAGCCATCAGAGAGACTGGGCCAGCAGCTTTGCTTCACCTCACAGGTGGTTCTTGGCCACTCATTACCTCAACTCTCATTAGCTCTCTGCAGTCCCCTGTAACTGTTTTTTCCTTTACCTGAGAACACTGAACTCTGCAGCTGACCAATCAGAGAGTGGGGAGTGCAGGGAGGAAGCTGCATAGGAATCAATGGGGGGAGCACATTTTACCCCTTTTGACCCACTTAGGGGTCAAATTTCTCAAAATCACTTCTTAGTCAGCACCTATGCCATCGTAGGAGCACTCTCCCCGAATTTGGTGTCTCTAGGTCCAGCGGTTTGGCCTGAGCATTGATTTTACGGTGAGGGGACTTTCTTTTATATCTATAGACTATCCTGATACCCGTGCTTCGCTACGGTATTTAAGTTCCATAAATCCAGTTATAATACTGATGATGTGAAATTTGAAATATGACGTTTGTTGTAGGAATTCTAATTGAGAAGATTGTAGTGTAAGAAATGAAGTGAGACATATGTACTTTCCCGCCCTCTACTGAAGGACCTCTCTGTAGACCACATTGGTGGTTCTGCCCTCAGGTGCTAGGATCACCAGGCTGCTTGATGAGCTCACTCTGGAGCAGGCAACATAGAACTGTCCACTTAAGAAGCAGTCGTCTTTTAAGTCATCTCCTGCCACCTTCCATGAAAGTGATGGCCTCTCTACTTGTGTCCCTGGATTCTTTTGCTCATATGGAGACTGTGTTGTTTTGAGCACCTCAGGGTGATCTTGCTGGTACTTGGCAAGTGCAGCTCAGTGCACTGCAGGAGTACTATGTGCAAATGTCTTTGCCGCATTCCTAAGTTGCCTCCTCCTTGTAGAATTGGTGTATCTGGCTGGATGTTTGCCAGGAGCTTTCTTGGGGGCAGTAAGAGGTGAGAGGTGTGAGGGGGAGTTGGTGTGAGGGAGTGGTGATGTGGTGGACATTTCTTCAGATTCATGAGGGAGGCACACATCGAAATGGCTCAAAAAATGTCCTTTACTATCTCCCCATGAACATTCATACCCTGCCCCTGCTCCTACACCTGACGGACACCGGCCTGTCTGGTGTTGGGGGGGATTGTAGATAAAGGCATCAGGGAGGCTGGGCCAACAGCAGTGCTAAGGCAATCCTGCTGAGCAAACCTCCCCGGCGGCTGTAAGCATCCCACCTCCTCTCCTACACCTGACAGGCAGCTGCCTGTCCAGTGTGGGAGGGGGAGGGGGAGGAGTATTAGAAGCTATTGTGGAAGTGGAGCTGCACCTGAAAGACAACCGCCTGTTAGGTGTAGGAGGTGGGGGGAGTGTGTTGGAAGCTATCCCACGTCCTCTCCTACACCTGACAGGCAGCTGCCTGTCCAGTGTAGGAGGGGGAGGAGTATTAGAAGCCACTGTGGAGGTGGGGCTGCACCTGACAGACAACCACCTGTTAGGTGTAGGACGTGGGGGGGAGTGTGTCGGATGCCATCAGAGGAACTGGGCCAGCAGCTTTGCTTCACCTCATAGGTGGTTCTTGGCAACTCCTGATTTCCTCAATTCTCATTAGCTCTGTGCAACTGTTGGGTTTTTGTTTTTTTTACCTCAGAACACTGCAGCTGACCAATCAGTGAGTGTTGTGTCCAAAGAGACAGCTGCCTGGCAGCTGCATAAGAATCAATGGGGGGGAGCACATTTCCCCCCTTTTGACCCACTTAGGGGTCGAATTTCTAAAAATCCCTTGTTAGCAAGCACCTATGCCACAGTAGGAGTGCTCTCCACGAATTTGGTGTCTCTAAATCCAGCGGTTTGGCCTGGGCGTTGATTTTACAGTGAGGGGACTTTCTTTCATATATAGATAAGGAGTAGAATTCTGGACCAAACCAGTTCAGACTGCAGGTATAAGGTGAACAGAAGATGTATAGGGCCCAGTCCACAGACATAGCAGAATGAAGTGGCAGAATGGTCTATACCACTTCAAACCAAAGGTGAGGGAAGACATTTTTTCAAAATTCCCCAATGCTAATACTTCCTTGTAAGCAGAAATCTAGCAGAGCACACAAAGGTTTTTCTCCCTCTCCCGGGAGCGGTGGCGCAGGCAGTTAAACA